TGCCCTGTCACTTCAAATTTTTTCTAAAAAAGATCTGAGAACCAAGAAATTGAATTGGTGTGGCATAAAGACAGTTTACTTGTTATTCAAAACAAAACCAAAGAACAAAGCATAGATAGAATACAATAGATCCAATCCCTTATACTTAATGTTAATGATGTTTTGATGTTGTTTCCCAGTGGAAGCCTCCCCCGAGGTTAGACATGCCCCCATCTACAGTAGAGCATGGCTACCAGAGTGTACAGAGAGACATACAGAAGGAGAGGGAACAGTGTGTACTGCAAGAACTCTTCTTCTCCAAGTCTAGGTAAGGATCTACTTCGCTGAATTTCCTTTTGGTGTATTACTTATTACGTAGTCTTGAAATTGAAAATAGTTTGTGGGACAATAGAGTCAATTCCGCGTCACCGAGTGGGTTGTTATTGTCATTATTTAGAAATGTTTTGAATTCTTTGTAATTGTTTGTCTAAGAAATTTCATAATTTGGAAATATTTTGAACATCTTGTCAATATTCTAAATAATTCCCTGGTTTTCTAAAACGTTTGAAATATTCCTGATGTGGATTATGACATTTCCAATAGTTTCTAACTATTTCTAACAGCACTCTACCATTTTTTACCATTATTTCGAATTATTTCTAACATTTTGTAAATAGGTCAGTGGGATGGGAAGGAAGTAATTCACACATCCCTGTGGAGTACAGGATAGACTGCCTGGGTGTCAGGCATTGATGCCTTACAACAAAAGAGCCACCAGTGTCCAGCAGTGAAATCTAAAAATATACAGAGGAAGACAGAAGAGTAGGATTAGCACCTACTTTTATGGGGGCAATTACCCACATCTACCATTTGGTTATTTGTTTGAAATAGTTCTAAATATTTCGAATTGTGAAAGAAACACATGGGTAGTTTAAATTTATTCTAAAGAAAGAGATCTTTGTACAGTCACATTCAAAATGTTTCAGAAATATATAAATGAATTCAAATATATTCAAATTTTCATTTTCAAATTTTTGAAAAATTTAGAACTTTTGTTACTGGGGTATTCTTTTCTTCTAAATAATTCAAACGTATTAGAAACATGGAGAAAAAACCCACTCGGTGACGCGGAATGGACTCTACGCCATAGACAGTTTAGTCATTTCTTCAGACTTCATGACCACTCAGATTTCATAATGAAGGCAATTTGTTTTCCAAACTTTTTCTTTACTCGCATGCTTGCTTCAGTTTTGGGGTTCTCAGAGGATGTCATCCATTTAATCAAATCAACATGGCATTATTCGCACCACCCCCACTGTAAGTGGACTCGTCAACATCCTGTCAGATTTCAGACGACGTCGACATTTGTTTCGCCGCCCGCCATTTTTGTCTTCGTCAGAAGGACTATGAAATTGTCTCGCCGGAGTGTGGGGAACTGCGGATTTTGCAATATAACTCTAGAAGGCATGATTCGACGTCCATGATTTTTGGCAGGCAGATTGCCGCTGTTAAGGCCGATGTCAACTACAAGTTTTGGCTTCGTGGGGGGTCCGTGCGTCACGTTAGTGCACCTTTTGTGTTTGTGGCTTGTTAGCAAGATAGCTCAAGTATTTGTAAAATGTTGATTATAATTCTTGGTGTGGTGCTTACTATTGTCGGGACCAAGGTTAAGTTCGTTACTGAGCTTCGTGGGGGGTTTCGTTGTGACTACAGGGGGCATTTTGTTAATTTTTCTTGTGAGCAGGATAACTTTTGTATGTGTGGATGGAAGTTAATGAAATTTGATAGGCATATTACTGTCGTGGTCTCCAAGATTGAGTTCAAAGATGAGAGTCGTGGAGGTCGTTATGTCCCCGTAATAGGACCTTATGTGTTTAGAAATCCCCACCTACATCTGCTTGGAGACAGCCGACAGCTGGATATAGCGGGGAACCCCATAATGGGATAGGATCAAATGACGTTACATTGAGGGATTGTACTATAACTTCAGCAGGGGGAGGATAGGTTGGACATATGTCAGGTTATTTTCTACGGCCACACCAAGTAATTGCTATTGATGACGTCCACTGGAGACCTTAAATCTAATTACCTTAGATTTAAGGCAAGCGCGCAATAAAAACACGAAGGGCCGAAAAACGAGATGCCTAGATTTGGAATATACTAACTGTAGAAGTACAAATGTTAGGACACAAAGAACACAAGAAACAAGTCTTCTATTTGTCATAAAGACAAATTAACAAAACAGCAGTAGTCACCCTGTTCTGATTCTTTCCTTTATAACATCTTCTCTTATTATATTTTGCGGCGCTGTCGTGACACTTTCAACACAGTAAGAATTTCTTGAACGTTTTTTTTCCAGTAACAGTCCAAACTCAAATAACGTAGGGGGGGGGGGGCTAACACGGGTGACGACGCATCTGTATAATCTGCGGCAAACCGTTTCAGGGTGTTCTGTACCATAAGAATAGTACATACAGAGATTCTTTTGTTCTTTAGACCAAATTGATTATTAAAAAGATTGAAGAATACGATGTACCTCTGACGAAGACATGAGATCTCCGACCTCTAGTTAAAACGTGTTTAGAACTAAAAAGAGTTTTAAAAGGTTTAAAACTTAACTTTGCTCCACAATGGGCAACGCGGTGTCTGAATTTTTCCTTGAAGAACTGACTGAGGCCGGTTTAGACTCGGTTTTTGGGTCCTTGAATCGAGGAAAGACGCAAAGGAGCCGTGAACAACCAGCGGCTAGCGGACGGGAAGATGGGCGGGAAGCTACCGACGTGTGCCCCGGGGTGACAGGCGATATCGTTCCCCGTGAGGCCGGAAAAAAGTTCAGTGACAAGGTAGGATCCGTACCTGCGACCTCCTGTACCGCTACGCCACACGACCCCACCCGAGTGCTCGAATTTCTTTCTTCAAGGCCACATAAGGCCACAGCATGTAAATTGTATGGATGGCATCCTCTGCAGACTCCAAATCTAATGCGAGCGCAGGTATATACTGGGACCCGAATATGAGGGCTTGCACGACGTGAGGTTACTCAACTTACGTCAGGTTGCACGCGTGCCGATACTCATTTCCGCGATTGTTTGCACGCGTGTTGTTCCTCAGGCTGTGCTGAGTTCGCACGCGTGTATGTCCTCGCGCTGCGCTGACCTTGCACGCCCGTGGAATTCCTCACAACAAACCGAGTAAACACCCATCTTGTGGGCGCAAAAGTGGAGGGCAGAACGCCGTAATGCCGGACCGAGCCTGACTAACTACCGTTGCGTGCATTTCCTCGAGGCGTCCCAAATTTACCCGCATGTGTATTTCCTCACTAAGAGCCGGGTAGACACGCATTTTTGGGCGCGTTGTGCTAATATTTCGCCGCACGTACATCATCGTCGGACGATAATTTTCCGAGTATCGGCACGCGTGCAAACCGACGTAAGTTGAGTAACCACACGTCGTGCAAAACCTCGTTTCGGGTACCCAAAATATAGCTCGCGAGCGGGCAAAAAAAAACAAGGCGGGCCGAAAAAACAAGGTTCCTACATTATAAAATTTTGACTCAATCATTGGATGAATGGCTTTTATTCGGTGGGAACATCATATATCCACCCTCTGGCATGGCAACAGACATCTTTGTCCATTTTCGGCATGTTGACCACTGTCAGAAGGCAACAAAATTTCTTGTTGTTTTTTTCCCAAATCAGGCGAAAATTAATGCGCACGCCGATGTCATCCATAAAAATTACTTGCTGTGGCCTAAATTTGCAGGTGTAAGAAACAGGAGGAGCCAGTAAAAACCCTTTTGGTTCCGGGCCGGGGTTCGAACCCACAACCTCCCGGGCCCCAGTCAGACACTCTAACCGCTCGGCCGAAAAGGTCTAGTCGGCCGGGTCAGTTGGTAGCGCCTAGTAACCCCCCACTGTTAGTTACACGGGCAAAACCTGTAATTGTAAAAACAGATAAATACAGTTGGTTCAACAGAAGTGAAAAAAATGTTGGTTGACAAATATCTAAATGAGTTAATTCTCCTCTCATTAGGAGGTGGAGTTCAACTGATATGATTCGTGCAAATGAGGATATTATTTGCATAATCAATGAGAAACGTGACTTCCCAGTCATAAACATCATTTGGCAAAGGTATGAATTCGTAGCCTCTACCAGGCTTGAGGGCGCGGCTGGAAATAGTAAAAGTTTGCAAACTGTAAACTGGATGGCTAAAACTCCCTTGGCGTGTTATCTCTCTATTTGGCCAATTTCTACTATTTCCAGCTGCGCCCTCAAGCCTGGTAGAGGCTAATGAATTTGTGGAACTCTTAGGTTAAGAAATGTTTGCGTGCTATGGCTAGTTTTGAAGTCCCCATTCATGCACGATCTTCATACATTATTAAACAAGTGGAATGTAGTGTTCTATTGTGCTGAAGAACTCATCACAGAAATTGTCTCATTTCTCTACTCTATGCTAATCATGCAGACTTGTATCATCTGACAAAAGAGGGCTAATACTTTAAACCTCTCATGCATTGGGGCGGCAAAATGATTGCAGGGGGATATGTGTGTGTGCGAAAATGGACATTTTCTTGCAGTTGACTAACTGCAGAATGACATACAGATTTAGATAAGAATCATACACAAACTACTGACTTGAGAAATTTCCAATCATTCCTGATCAGCCCAACTATGATTATTTACAGTCAATACTAAAGGCCACACCAATTTAATTTCTTGGTTAACGGATTCGCCCGCTTCCTTTTTTTCTGCTTTTTTTCCTGATTTGCAAAAAAAGAAATCAACTGCAAAATGCCCTCATATTTTGCTCATATTTTACCCTGAACAGTTGAAAAAGTCCTTTTCTTCCTAGTTACCTCCATGAAATGTGTCATGGAGGTTATATTTTCAGTTGCGTTTATCTGTCCGTCCGTCTGTCCGTCTGTCCGTCTGTTGGTCAACAAGATAACTCAAGAATGCCTGGACGGATTGGTTTCATACTTGGTGTGTTGGTAGGGTGTGACGAAAACTGAAAATGATTAGATTTTGGGCCCCCTAGTGGCTTCCCTTGGTACTGCAGCGCAACTTCCGGTTTTGATATCTCGCGATCTGGACATGCTAGGGTCATGAAATTTGTCCTTTGTCTTGTCCTCGGGAAGAAGTCACGTGAGTTTGGTCTACCTAGCCGCTTGTTCTGGAACTGCAGGGTGGTTTCTTTGAAAATCTTCGAGAGATAATAACTGAACAACCGTTTGATGGATCATCATGATTTTTGGTATGTAGGTAGCTTAAGTGATGCTTGACATAATCAAAATATAATTATGCAAATCAGGATCTAATTTGCATAAT